GAGGGCGTCATCCAGGAAGAGCTGGTTGTTGGATTGCTTCCTGGGGCTAGGTTTGGCAGGCAGGAATCAGGAGATTCAAGGGTAAGAGAAGCAGACCTGTTTCCCAGGGACCTCTGCAACTGAGCTACTTAGAGTAGGTTGCCTAGATACCTCCTGAGGTGAGTAGGGCTACTAGGCTAGTTCCAGGGCTGAGCTGGCTAGACTGCTTGGGGGCAGTTTCCTGGCTGTGTGGGCTGAATTTCAAGATGGCTGAGTTCTTTCCTAGCATCTGTGAGGACCGCAGGTTTTTCCAGCAACAAATGCTTCAGTGTGTGCAGTATGGGTGAGGACCGTAGCAGGGGCTGCCTCCTTTCTCCTTTCTTGCTGGGGAAATGCTTGTTGAGGGTTGATTTGGATACTAGCAGCCGATGCTGTGCACTTCAGTCATTTTTTTAAGAGGACATGGTGATCTCTGTGCTCTGCAGCATCTCTGACCCCAGTGCATGCCTGTAAAATTGCTGCTGTGCTTTTGCTTTGCTTTTCTGTTAAGGAAGTGCAGCAAGTATCTGCAGTTAACCATCTTGCTGATGCCACTCCGGGGAGCCATTTTAAGAAAAATCACCAACCAAAAGTGCAAAAGTGTAAAAACATGATACTAAAGCCTAGGAAAGTAAAGAAAGAAGCCTTGTGCAACCACATCTAGCAAAGAGTCTGTTGGGAAACTACATTGTCTTTTGCTGTTTTACCTGACTATAAATGCCTAAAAATTCTATGAGTACTAATTTTGGAGTTATGAGTAAATTTTAGAGAGTAGGTCGATTCACAGATTTGGAGTCTGTGAACAATGAAGGCCAACCTTATAAAATTCACTTCTAAAAAAAATTCCAGGAGGCTGGAGAGATGCTTCAGCACTTAAGAGCACAGGCTGCTCTTGTAGAGGGCCTGGGTTTGGTTCCTACCACCTACGTGGTAGTTAACAAACTTCTGTAACTCCAGCTCCAGGGGATCCGACACCCTCTTCTGACCTCTGTGTATACTGCACGACACATGCGCTCTTGCATACATGCAGGCAATACATTCATACACATTAAAAAAAATTAAAAATTCCAGAAAGCACACATCAAGCTAGAGTGGCAGAAAGCAGAGCAACAGTCACCTGGACATGGGCCAGCAGGGAGGAAACACAACAGGGCAGGAGACTTGTGAAGGTGAAGGATTCAATCTTACAGTGATTATTTTACAGGAGCATGACCTAAGTTACATTCATGTAACTATGAGAATGTATACTCTGTAGCTGTTAAGAGGAAATGCTTTGTAAATATCTGCTAGGCCCATTTATACGAACAGTATTGTTTCATTTAGATGTTTCTTTGTTGAAACTTTATACTAATTACTGTATACCAATGATACTTCAATAAGACTTAAAAGAAAATACTCATATATAATAAAGTGTGCCGTGTTGGTAGGAAAGAAGAGGAGAAGCACATTTATGAAGCTGAAATGTGAGAAACTCAAGGGGTGAAGGAGAGTGAATCAAGGAATCAAAGGTGACTTGATGTTCTACTGTGGTTGCTGGGTTGAGCAGTATCAGTAAGAGCTGGAGAATACGCATGGAAGACCAGGTTTCTTTTTGAGACAGGGTCTCCCTGTAGCATCAGCTGTCCTGGAACTCACCAGGTAGACCAGGCTGGCCTTGAACTCACAAAGATCTGCCTGCGTCTACCTCCTGAGTGCTGGGACTAAAGGCACATGCCAACATGCCCAACTAGTTAGGACCAGGTTTCGGAAGGGTACAGAAAATAAGTTCAATTTGCAGTTCCCGACCTAGCTCCAAACCCTTTTTCCTGCTGCTGTCTTATAGGCTGTGCAACTATCTCGACTTCAGGCAGCTCCTCTCCCTGCTGGTCTGATCTATTCAATGGCCTCACCATATCTGAGTCTCTCTTCTCTTACAATCTACATGTGCAAATACCAACTCCTGTAATCCACCCTTTTCTGTTCATACACTGATGTAAGCGAAGATTCTTACTTTTGAATTCACCAGCCTCGTCATGTCTTCTCATTACAGCTAGTACAAATTTCTTGGCTCAAGAGGAGAGGACTTCCAAAATGTGGTCTCAGCTTATTACATTTTGTCTAATTCTCTACTTAAATCGGGGTTGGGTGATCTCCCCAACATAGAGCAGATTTATCCCTACATAGGCTATTTTTGCATCCTTACAAAATGTAATCTACTAGATCTTAACTTGTATCATCTGATTCTTATGGAGCCAGTACCATTTGGTTGCTTTCTAACTTCCAAACGTGCTAATTCTACACTTTTGGTAGCAGCTCATTAGTCAACTACAGTTAGTGAGGCACTTTTCTAGGCACAATGGGCTAATGGAAGATGGATGAAGATGTCTGATCTCAAGTGTGTAGGGCGAGGGCAATCCTGCAATGCCAACTTCATTGAGTATAATACAGTACCAAATCCCAGTTGCTCAGTTGAGATACTCTTTGGTCTAGGTAATTATCGTGGAGTTGGTATGTCAGCCACATCTTGAAGCCTGAGTACAATATGATCACATGCCATAGAAGGACACTTGGGTCAAGGACAGACTTTATATAATGGTAGTCTATTCTACTGTCTAGTGACTTTTTGGTTGTCTTCAACTGTGTAAGGATACTGTCATACTCACATAATGATGAAATTGTTTAATGACAGATTTCTCAGAATGAATGATTATTTTTTAAACAATGCAGTATTTTTAATGTTGAATAGAAGGCTTCACAGGTCAAAATAGAAGGCAAAGTCAGAAAAGCAGCTTAGTTGTTATTTCATACTCCCCCCCTTCCTCCCCACCCCCCCACCCCCCACATTTAGCATCTCTCATGGCATGTATTATAGTAATTGGCCTGCAGTCCACATTCGGTAAATACTTGCTGGGTTAAAGTGGTTATACTTGATTTTAAGTGGTTTTATCTGGGCCCTAAGTGAATAATGTGTTACCAGGGGGGTAGAGAGCTGTATCTTTTATAAACTCACGTTAAGTGGCACAAATTTGTACCACTAATGCCAAAATTGAAAAGGTAATTTAAAAATAATTCTAGTCGCTATTCCTCTGGCAGCACAGCTCCGTGTAAAGTACCTGGTATAGGGGGACCTAGTCTCTGCTTGCTGATGTCACCTGTGAAGGAAGTTCTACTCAAGCTCAGTGAATCACAGTACGCTTAGCCCTTTAACTAAACCATGGAAAACTACGCACCTATAATGGAACCTATACACCTAAGGCTCATGGAACATAGTAGAACAAGGCATAGAGAGAACACTACTGTGCTCATTATGTCCATACCACATTTAGAAGCAACCTTACCACATGCTAGTTTTGTGATGGTAATTTATGTAGTTTTTAATGTTATTTGGAATTTCCTCAGAAAGCAATGTTTTATTTTGCTGATGTAGACAGAAATAATCTGAGAGTATGTGGTATTATAATAGCCAAATACACATGGCTGGAGAGGTCATAGATGTTAGAGAAAACCCCAAGGCTGTCACAACCCTAGACAAATGTAATTTCTTACTATGTGTTAAATATGGGTCCTTATATTTACAAATATCCCAGTCACCACTCATCAAAGAAGCTTCTTTTGCAAGAGATTATTACAGAGTTCCAAAACTAGTCACACACAGAGGTTGTCTGTGAATTGCCCAACGCTAAGTGACACACCTATTATGGAAGCTCTACACCTAAGGCTCACGGAACATAGCAGAACAAGGGGTAGAGAGAACACTAATGCATCTCTCAACTCCCATCAACGAAGCTCTCTCATGCAACAGAGGGCTATGAACTCAAAAGGACACAAATGGCAAAAGCATAGAGAATAAGAGTCCGCAGAATACAGGTGCTTGGACAGGACTCCTATACCTATCTAGGGGTCCAGAGACCATTGCAGAAGACTGGGGCGGGGGGGATGGAAAGATTTTAAGAGCCAGGGGAGGAGGTGCATGACCATATGGAAATACAGTTTTACAGGCTCCTTGCTCATATGAACTTATAGCTATGGTGTCAGCATGCACAAGACCCATGCAAACTCAAGCAGACAAAAACCAGGATAGAACTATGGAAATGGGCAGCAGGCCCCAATCTTAGCTGAAGAACTATTGGCAGCTGATACTGCTGGGTGAGGGAGAGCAGATCTTCTTAAAGAGAGGGAGTCTAGAAGGCTGACTAGACCTCAGTGGATGAACCTGCACTTAGGGACATCTGGAGACAGTAACTTGACTTGAAAGGCCTTAACACAAATGGCAGAATGCATGAAATTCAGTGTGTGTGTGTGTGTGTGTGTGTGTGTGTGTGTGTGTGTGGCTATAGGAGGGTGCCAATAAGGAAAGGGGTATAAAGATGAGTAAGATGTTCTACATTAAATATACAAATATTCAATAAAAAATTTACAAAAAATAAAAAGAAATAATCTGAGTTTGGGGCTGGAGAGATAGCTCAGTGGTTAGGAATACTGACTGCTCTTGCAGAGGACCTGGATTCTATTCCTAGCACCCACATGGTGACTAACAACCGTCAGTAATTCCAGTTCTAGGGGATCTAACTCTTCTGGCCTCAGCAGGGCACTGTACAACATGTGTGTATCTACATACATGCAGGCAATACACTCAAACACATAAAATAAAAATAATAAATATTGACAAAAGAAATAATCTTGAGTTTGAAAGCATCCTTAAAAAATGTTAACCCCAAGCTTCTAAGAAAAAGCTCAGAAGAAAATAAAAATTCGTAACTAGGTGTAATTTCATAGCTACAGAAACTCTCATGTCTGCAGTTCTAGTAGTTTCTTTCTTACTGTGTAGGAGCCACGCAGTGCATACCATTTTCTGGATAATTATTGTTCCAACATTGAGGTCACTAGTGTAATTTTTTGTATGACATAGGGTATCAGAAAAGATCAATTCTGCTGTATAGATATGTAGTTAGGAAAAGGAATTATTAATAAAGTAGGTTCTTAGCGAAGCCCTGCATCCTTACCACTGGAGCTGAAATCCACAGGCCCAATCCACTTGAAGGCTGGTTTCCGGCCTCGTTCTTCTGTTACATGCACTTTCTTTATCAGAGCCAAGCTGGTCAGAACATTGGCTATGTCATAGAGCCGTCGTACCTTTGCTTGAAGATATAAAACACAATTATGGTCACGCCACTTGTGACACCACTCATTACATTCTAGTTTATGTGACAGGTAACATTCCTCTACCACATAAACCTCTGAAGGCAGCTGGGTGGTATGAGACCAATGGCTCTGTCATGAAATCACCCCAGATTTATGCATCTGAAGACACATATTAAGGGAAGGACAATGAGTCCTCATCCCACAACTTCACATCTCTTACAGGAGTCCTCTGGTGACAAGCAGGGGCACTGTGATTACAAAAACACATGGGGGAAACGGGCTGTGATTAAAGTCTTAGTAGATGTAATTCTACTAGGTGGTCATCAAAAGCTTGCTTTGCGCTTCTCCCAGCAGGTCCTGACACCTGCCTCACAGACAGCTGGCTTGTGAAAATGACAGGGAGTCCCTAGGTTCCTTGAGACGCCACACTCCTGGGCACATAGGACATCCAGGAATCACGGTCATGAAGTACAGCAGTACGAAAGCAGCTGAGCAGTTGCTCAGCTGAAATGCTGGCCTTGGGGGAATCTGAAAGCATTTTAGAGAAACCTCTGAAAAATGCATGTATGAAAAGGGAAACTCAAAAGGCATGCTAACAAACAGGATGACCTACTATTCACTATTAACAGATCAGAAACCCGCTTGACCTCAGGGTCCCTGGCACGGCTGGATTTGACCTTGGCCATTTCACCAACAAGGTGGCTATCATTCCAGCTGGAAACAAAACGTGGCTCAAGAACCAGGAGGAGCTCATGGCTTCTTTCCAGCTCAGGGCACTGACTCTGGATCTACACTCTGAGGAAAGGGAATGTGTGTGATACTCAGTGTGGCACTCAGGGACCCTCCCTGACAAGCAGCCGTGTCCCCCCACCCGGGGACCCTAGCCATTTCTCTGGCGCTTACCTGTACTCAACTTTCATCTCCACCTTTCAGAGGAGTAGGCAGGGGGTGGGGAAGAAAGGGAAAGAACACTCAGACATTCTGTCTTGGATGCAGCATTACCGAGGAGAAATGCAAAGTAATCCACACCCTCCCTGGCTGGGGTCCTCAGGGTGCATTCTGCCTCTCCCTGGCCATTGTAACCATGGAGTAAAGACTTCCAACATGAACAGCATGGGGAATCTAGGAGGTGACTGACCTCTCACAGCATAGGGCACTTCTATAAGCACAAGGACTACACTTCTCAAGAAACAAACCAAAAAACCCTCACAACCTTCTACATTTCAGAGGCAGAAAACACCAACTTCTGCAATCCCACCCTTTTCTGCTGATACACTGATTTAAGTGAAGATTCTTACTTTTGAATTTACTATGGTCTGGGGTATCCTGGCTTTCTTCTATGAGGATCTTGGCAGCCACATCCAGAGTAACAATCTTGGTTTTGGAGACAAGGAACAGCATGACAAACTTCTGGCTCATAATTCTTAGAGATTTATCTTTTCTACTGTTTGCAGAAGCTAAAAATGGCAAAGAAAAAAAAAAAAAAAGCATCAAAACATGCCTTTACCACAAGAAAGACTGCTTGCAGTTTGCCAGAGCGATCTAACTCTACCAGCCTAGGACAGGATCACCCTGGTAACAAGCAGAAGCCTACTGGATGCACATCACAAAAATCAGCTCATAAAGAAATGGCAAGGATTTTACTGTCTTATAAAATGGCTGCAGTCGAAATAAATTCCCATATGTGTATTTAAAATTGTTTTTAACACTTCAAACTTATGTCATATAATAGAAACCACATGGCAATTTTCCTGAAGCAACTTTCTGAAAAGATTAATACAGATAAAAGGAGAGGTTAGGGATCAGGAATTATTTTCAGAACATTGACTCTGCTCAACAGTAAGAACTCCACGTGTCTCTGTACATGTGTTCATGTATACATGTTCATATGTAGGGTGCATACTCATGATCATGCATGCATGCATATGGAGATCAGGGGTTGGCATCACAAGCCTTCCAATTGCTTTTTTATTTTTTTGAGACAGGGTCTCTCATGGAACCTGGAGCTCCTTGATTAAGCTAGACTGGCTGGCCCAAAGCCCCAGGGATCCTCTGTCTCTGCCTCATCAGTGCTATAATCATAGGCACATACCACTGGCCCAACTTCCTGTGGATGCTGGGTGGGCATCTGGACTCAGGTCCCTTAGCCATTTCCTCTGCCCAAGAGCCACATTTTTATTTCTCTGTGCTCACAAGTTCTAGTATGTACACTAACAGAGTTGGTGCTTGCCTCTTCCAATTCTTTTCAGAAACAAGCGAGGTTTACAAGAGACTGATTTGATGTATGCTACTGTGTGTGGATGGCAGGTAAATCATCCTGACAGACACTGCCTCCCCTGGTTATTAGAATAAGTACTTTCTCATGGGGTAGAACTAAAAAGCATGAGGCAGGGAATCTAATGAAAACCAGGACCACCCTTCTTCCTACTTCTAACACTGCAAATCAAAATGTGGGTGATATCTGTACTTTGTCATCTTAGCATCAAGGAAGAGGTGAGAACGCTGAATACCAATGTTTGAAACGAGAAGAGTTTTGAAAAACCTAAGATGGGGTAAGGGAAGAACAATGCAATTATAAATAATAATTAAAACACTACAGTGAAAGAAAGCAGGGTTGCCTGTCTTTCTTATCAACAACCTCAGCTATGGGGGTTCTTTTCTTAGTAACTGACTCTAACAAGCAATCTAATAAGTCTTTGAGAAGATAATGTCTTCATTGTGAAGTCTCACAAAGGTAAGTAGCACCGGGCTGTCTGTCAGTCTACAGCAACACAGCTGGTGATCTATTGCTCACACATGCCCAACACCAAGAGAACTGCCACAACTAAGGCTGAGTGGGCAGCCCAGGTGGGGAGCCATCTGCCTTTCTTCAGGAGCAGAACAAGAGGACAGCTTCCTCCAGGGCTGCCAATCTGGCACTTCGTATCTTGGCAGTGACTGTCTTCAGAAGACACCATTCTTCCCTCCAATGTTACTCATGAGTGTGTAACAGACTCACAAGAGGGGTAGTCAGGTTCACAGAAATCCAACAGGTGTTGATCTTGGAGATCTGGAGAGTCATCTTTCCTGCGTTCTCCAAACTTATAATCCATCAAGTCCAGCTCCTTCTGCTGGAGGCAAGCCATCTGTTCTTCGTATTTCTGTTCCTCTCCTAGTTTCTGGAGGGTCTTCAGGGTTTGGGGCAGGCTGTGCCGACCATGCCAACCATACTGATTCTTGGCCACCCGGCTGACCAGATGCAAGGACTCCAGCACATTCACGATGTCATAGATGCGTCTCCTTTCCACCCCTGTTTGGAAAGCAGAGAGCAACAGACATCATGCAAACAAGCATTTCCAGGTATAAATACCTGGAGGGCCTGGAATGTTTCTGTGATCAACTTTGTATGATGCCCAATATAATGCCCAGCATTGTGGATACTCAATAAGGCCAACCCCAGAGGATATTCAAACAGATACTATTTTTTTTTTTTTTTTTCTATTTTCTTCTTGGGATCCAATCTTCAAACAGATCTAGGGTAACAAAGTCTCTTGAGATGGCTGGAGTACCATCTGTATGACATTAACAGCATAGCACCTGTTCCTTAGACTTAAGCAAACCACACAGCTATTCCGGTGGTTTGAAGCAATATACCTAACAGCATGCTTCCTGGAGAATGGCTTACTGTGACCTGTACTCTTAATTAGTAGACTTGTATTAGTTACTTGTCTTGTTGCTGTGAGAAAATATTTGCAAGAGCAGCTTAAGGGAGGAAGGGCTTATTCTGGTTCAGTTTGAGGAGACAGTCCATCATGGTGGGGAAGTGTGGTAACAGAGCAGAAGGCAGCAACTGCATCCAGTCAGGAAGCAGAGAGATGAATGCTGGCGTTGCCTTCTCCTTTTATTCAGTTTGGAATCCTAGCCCATGGGATGGCACTGCCACATTCAGATTGAGTCCTCCCTGCTCAGTTAAACCTTTCTAGAAATACCCTCATAGACATACCCAGAGTTGTGTTCCTATGGTGATCCTAAATCCTTGACAATGAAGATTAGCCATCACAGGACTATGAAATAAATAAATAACCATCACTTCAGTATTGGATAGTACTGTCCTTTCTTGGGCACTCAAATGATGTAACTAGTAATTACTTGGCTTTCTCTTAATGTCCTGGTAAGGGAAACACATGGTAAATATTGCTCCCCATTTTAAACTGGAAACCCCAGATTCAAAGGCTTGGGTTCCCCCCTTTTCAGGCTGCCGAGGAAGCTATAGCCCAAACTGGAAGGCCACGAGTCTCCAATGTGTCATGGCTGCCACAACTCTCCCTGTGTTCTCATGAACCATCTGCTAACAAGCAGCCCAAAGGTGAAGCACAAAGCCTCATATAGGTTTACCATGAAATTCACCTGTCTCATTCCCACTTCCTAACACTCCTTAAGCAGTAAGATTATAAGGTATTCATTTAATCACCAAAAATACATAAGGTGGTTAAATTAAGTTTGGAAGGCCCTGGGGTCATTGCCTGGATATATCCCTTATTAGTGGCTCATCCCAGGAAGTTACTTAACCCTTCCAAACTATAGCACTTATCTCATAAAATAATAAATGTAAAGGGTTCCCAACAGATGGCAATTTTATCTAAATATTTTACAAGGTGTTGGAGGTACTCAAACCCCTGCTAGTAGAAGCAGATTTTAAACACTTCTTGTCCACAATACATTCTGTTGTGTAACAGGTCCCTCAGGCCTGCTGTTCCCTTTGCTCTCATCTAAGTAGCCACACAAAAGCCTCCAGGCACCTTGCAGAAAACCGGTCCTGCTACAAATTATCTTCTCTTAGTTTCTCTTGCCAGGAACAGGCTCAGTGAAGGTAGCTTTGGGCCCTTCAGAGATTTAATGTGAGAAAGACAGTATTACAAGGAAAACCCTGGAGTGGAGAGGAAGCTCTCCCACATGCATGAAGAGGCATTTCACGGTCAATCAGAACATTTCAGCTCATGACCCTGAATGGTCTCCCCTCCCCCACCACCAAGCTCAGGCTTTGGTGCCAGCTGCATGCTGGAAGGTGCTGGCAGGAGCAGTCAGCTTGTCCAGATCTGCTTGGTTCCTTATTCCAGTCTGTTTTCACATATTAACACACCCTGTTTGGAGTGTACCATTCTATAAACCTTCCCATTAGAAATGTCATGTGCATGTAACTGAGACACCCCAGGGTCAGCCATATGCCTGGCTGTTTTGTTATTCTGTACTTGATAACAAGCTGGTCCATCTCTACCTAGTGGCTAGATATCCTAAGGGAAAATGAAAGACAGTTCTGATCATTTGGAGAGTTAGATGACATTTAATGTGTGCAATGGGTGCTTAGAAGGTTGTTTTGACAAAGACCAACGTAACACAACTTGCCAGGTTAATCACTCATTTCAGTCTTGTCCAAATCTCACTGTCCAGGGGCTAGTACCTAAAGGTTCCACTTGTAGGTATCCAGACTCTGAGGCTTGCTCAGGAAGGTGTCCCCTGGCATTCTGCCTTCTTTTTTCTTTTGTACTGAGACTGTTTTATTGATTCTACTTCACTAGTAGTCTTACTTGCAGTCGCGGACATAATGATTACTGTCAAGTTTGCCCTAGTCTACTTCCCTGTGGGGCTGATTAACAATACTCAGTCGAGGAGAAGCATCCAAGGTTCATTTTCTACTTACTAAAGTTTCTTTCAGGTCTTTAACATGATACCAGAGTCAAATCTACATGGCACCAGAATCTGGAAACAACTCAATTTTAGCTTTGCACACATCTTTTGTTAAATTATGGTCTTCTAAATTAGGATGAAACCAGGGGTTTAGATTCAACCCCAGGAGATAGTCACCAAGGAAAACAGTTCCTAGGAAGAGACTGTATTTTTCAACTTCACATGACAGAGATGGCCTGTTTTACTTAGCAGGTCTAGGTCATCAAGAGGTCCCAGGACCTGTAAGCTATGCCTCAAGCATCTGATCTGTGTGTTCTGCACAGACATTGGTGCAAGACCCCCTAAATGGAAGCTGGATATGTGGGGGAGGTAGACTTCATGAACCCTAATGAGGACAGTAGATGATCCCTTATCCCTCACTTTCTGGAGACTGGCTTCCAGGACCTCTGCCAGGACTGAGTTAAGTTAATCTCTTTAACTCTGTGATATCTCCTCAAGGTCTGCGTTACAGACAAGAAAAGGTTAGTAACTTCTAAGCTATCAGCTTGAATAACTCAAACTGACAGTCCACTAATCTCACATTTCTCTGGGCTACGGAAGAAAGATAGCTAAGAAACACAAAAATATTTACCAGTTATTTAGCTGATTCTTTCAAAAATTTTTCTTCTGTATGTAAAACCTTGATTTTTAAGTGGATACCCTGAAAGCTTTAGATCACTGCAATTTTTATTTAATGACTGTCAACAATTCCAACATCCTGACACCAACTACAGCCCATGCCCACTAGGGGTCTCTCTTCCGAAGCAACTGTATACATATTTACAGCATGTACACTGCTCACACATTACACATGCTGCTGCCACGTGAACATATACATTCTTCTTTGTTAGGAAGCTTAGCTGTTTGAGTTATGTCCAGATGTGCATTTTCTAGTCTGACAGGCATGGTGTGAACATCATGGTAAAGGGTTTCCAAACATTGTGTTCTTACTCTCAAATTTTTGCTTTATAATGAAAACACTAGTTCCTAACTCTTAGAAGCATTATTAAAAATAAAGACCAGGATATTAAAATTTTTTGTCATTATGGTCTCATTATGTAACCCAGGCTGGCCCCAAATTTGTAATACTCCTACCTCAGCCTCATAAGTGCTGGAATTACAGGTATGTGTCACCACACCCAGCTTATATTATTGGATTCTTCCTGAAAATGAATTTAATGAGACATCAATCTATAATGTAAGTATAAAAAAAAATTACCTCTTATAATTAAAAAAATTTTTTTTTCTATAGTGTTGGAGGGCCCAATAAACCCAGGGCCTTGTACACGTTAGCAAGTTCTCTACCACTGAGCTACAGCTCCACCCCATAAAAACGTAAGGTTAAACCCCCCTGAATTATTGCTTGGCCCTCAGGTCTATCTAGGAGGCTTCCTTGAATTCTATGCACAAGAGAAATTTGGTGGTGATGAAAGAAGTTCTGCCTGCTCCCATCCTCACCCTCTTGCAGGGTCCACTCTGTGAATAAAGGAGGCTACTTAACTCCTTTGGCCTGCCCAAGGTAACCCGGTTTCCCATTGCCACAGAACACAGGCTTCCAGGCCACCTGGTGATACATACCAAGACTGACAGCGACTTCATCTAGGGAGATGGTGGTTTTCTCTGTTGACAAAGGATAACTGGGATAGCGAGCTAGAAACTTCTGGCACAGCAGCCCTAAACTTTTCTGTTTTCTGCTTGGCCTTTGCTTTTCATATTCATCCACAGCACTGTCCCCAACAACATCAAGCTACAGAAGGTAGACAGAAGAGAGATGTCACACTTAACATATTTAAAAAAATTATTATTTTTAAAATTTTATGTTTATGTGTGTATTGCCTGCATGTATGTAAGTGCACCTATGTCGTGCAATGCCTGCGGAGGACAGAAGAGGCTGTCGGATGCCCTGGAACTGGAGTTATGGACAGTTGTTAGCTGCCATGTGGATGCTGGGATTCAAACACGGGTCTTCTGCAAGAACAACCAGTGTTCTTTAACTGCTAAGTCATCTCTCCAGCCCCACGGTTAACATTTTAATGGAGAAACTGCGATGGCTGGAGTTGAAAAGCTATAGGCAAGTGATCCCAACCTACACCCGTTCTAGATTCTGGTTGAAACACAACGTACAGTCTAGTTTTCTTTATGCTTTTCCTGTTATTTTCTCTAGTCTGAGTTGTTTTATTTTTATTTTTTTTCCTTTTGCAACACAAGGCTGAGTCTAATGGTTAAAAGCTTAAAACTGCCAGGTATGGTGGTGCACGCATTTAATTCTAGCACTCGGGAGGCACAGGCAGGCAGATCTCTGTGAGTTCAAGGCCAGCCTGGTCTACGTAGTGAGTTCCAGGATAGCTGGGGCTACAGGGAGACCCTGTCTCAAAAAGATCAAAAAAAAAAAAAAGCTTAAAACCTATATTGTAGATTGCTATACTCTTGCTATGGATGATGTGGGTAGAGCTGGCAGCCTCAGCACCATGAGGAGCCTGCTGGAGAGAGTTGTCTCAGGCCTTACCTCAGGCTTGCTGCATCAGAATTTGCCTTTTCATGATTCTGGGTGAATGAAAGTTTGAGATGCACCGACCTGCACTGTGTTGTCTTACTGTTGTATATTTCAGATGGAGCAAGGCTTGATGAAATGGTACAGGGCCATTAAGGTAAATTCTTTATTCTAAGTATAAAAGTAGCATCTTTGTCTCCACTCACATTTCAACAAGGCTCCATTGAAGCCTCAAGAAAGTAAAGGGCTCCCAAATAAATAAGTCCAGGGAGAAACAGATAGGATTATCTCCACAGACTCAGACAAAGCATTTGATAAATTTAATGAGTACTCATGAAAACACAAAAGCCAGTGTTTGTCTTGATAGAAACCTTGACACATTCCTCTGAACTCAAGATAATGAAGATGTCTTGTCAATGGCCATCTTCTGTGTCATACTGGAAATCCTCTAGTACATTAGGACAAGGAAAAGAAACTGAGGCTCACGGATTGGAAAGAACAAATAAAACCTTTTCATTTTGAAGACAGGATGGTCCACTCAAAAAATCCTCAGAGAAAACAAGAGGAATTAGCAAGAGTCGGATACAAGAAGAGAGATTTCTAAACCCACTGTATTTATGAATAACAGCAATAGAAAGTGAGCTGAAAAGACATAATTTACAGTAGCAACAAGAATGGCAAGTTTTTTTAGGGAACACCTAAAAACACAAAACTTAGATCTTAGAGAAGACTCAAAATCGGAGAAGTGTACTATTTTCATTGATAGGAAGGCTTGGCACCAGAGATTCATGCTTCTCAAATTAATACAGATTTAATAGAATTCCCATTAAAACCCAATCTAGAGTTGGTTGTGATGGTGCAAGCTTTTAACCCTGGCACTCAGCAGGCAGACCTTTGTGAGTTTGAGGCCAGCCTGGTCTACAATGAGAAGTTCCAGGCCAGCAAGGGCTACATAGTGAAACCCTGTTTCAACCCCCGCCCCCAAAAAACCCCACAAAAAAACAAAAAACCCAAACACAATTAAAAACATATATGGAAGAACAAAAACCAGGAATCGTTTTGTTACACACACGAGGAGAAGTAAGTTGGAAGTTCAGCTTTATCTGCTATCAAAGCTCATTACAATATGGCTGGCCTAGAAACAGACAAACTGAGCAGAAGAAAAACAAGAAGATATATTTCTGTTCAGAAACAGAATAAATGGAGCCCTGATATACGACACACAGAGCACGGCCAACTGAGAGAAGAGGACGAGCTCCTGAATCAGTGGTGTGGGGACAACTGATTATACAGAAACATAAAACTGTATTCTTGACTAACATCACATATAAAAAGCAATTCCAGATGGATTAAGGATTTAGACACAGAGAGCAAATCATAAACGAAGAAAAACTACAGTGTGTTTCTAATCCTGAGACAGAGAAAGAGTAAACCTATATAAGATTACCCTTAAAAGGATTTTATTTACAGAACCATGTTAAACTTAAGAGCTTTAAAAAAATTTTTTTTAATTGAATTTTTGTGTATTTTATACAGAACATCTCAAAGAATCTTAATCATCTTTATACCCCTGTCCCAGCTGGCACATTCCCACCACAGCCTCCCCACTGGAACCCATATACTCTGTGATCCGTATTAAGGCCCAATGTGTCAAGTCAGTGTCCCCAGACGTTCCCTTGTGCAAGTCTATCCACTTAAGAGCTTTATGAGTCAAGAAACAATGGAAAGGGAAAAGACAATTACCAATTGAACAAAGACAAATGTAACATACAACTGAAAATAGTTTTAGTATCAAGAATACATAACCATCTCCTATAAATTACTACGAGAAAGAAAGCAACCCAATGCAAATTGACAAAGAAGAGGAACGGGCATTGCACAGAGGAGGAAAGAACATGGCAGTGAGCAATCAAGGGGAAAAAAGCTTAACCTCACAAGTGATCAAGGAAGAACTAGTGGATACCACAGGAAGATACAAACTACCCAGGAACTTGTCAGATTGCTAAGCCTGACAATCTCAAGTGGCAGAGGAGGTATGACCCACTAAGTGCTTCTGTCTCATGGGGGGGGGGGGGCAGGCAGGACTGAAGCAATCTGGCACTATCCTGAGAAAATGTGTATATCCAATGAGTCAGCTCATTCACTAGGAGAGGAACACCCCACAACAGTAATTCTTGAACTTTCTGCTTACAGGATTACTTTATGTTCCGAAAAGTTACTGAGGACCTCACAGAACTTTTTGTTAAGAGTTTTATCCACTGATATCTAACATACTAGAAACTGAGATAATTAACACTGTTTACTGAGAAAAGATCAGGTTTTATATGTTTTTTTTTTAACAATCTTTTTAGTGTGTACTTTTGTATTCAACATGTTGCGATGTGTCTTTACTCAACTACTCCAGTGTGCACTCAGAAGAGACTGGGAATTTAAATGGAAAATATCTTAGTATTAAGAAAATAATTTTGAGACATGGCTCAGCAGTCGGGAGCATTTGCTGCTCTTGTAGAGGACTTGGGTTCAGTTCCCAGCACTCACATGGGGCGGCTCATAGCTACCTGTTAACTTCAGCTCCAGGGGATCCAACACTGTCTTTTGGCCTCTATGGGCACTGGATACAGTGCTGCACATAGACAGGTAGGCAGGCACGTATACATAAATAAAAATTTTTAAAAAGAAAATAATTGAGACCTCTTTCCCTCTGAAAGACCCTTTGGGGACAGAAAGGCTCTCAGGCCACATTTTGAGAATCACTGCTCTAGAAAATGCTATTACATGTAAAAGAGATATGACCAAGCAGCTGGCTCATATCAGCCAAACTGCAACTAACCTTAATAGCTACAGACAGGAGACATAAGTAATTGTGGTGTAGTCATGTGATGGAATGTTACATAGCAATTAAAGAATCACAACTATGTGTGAAAACGTGAATTCTTCTTACGAATGTGTTACTGAAAAAGTAAATGCAAGATTGCACACTGTAAAAGTTTCAACTTTACAAAGCCTGAAACCCAAACAAGACAACCCAAACAGAAGAATATATACATATATGATAGACTGACTTAAAAATGGCAAGGAAATGATAAAGACCAATTTATGAGTGTGGTCATTTGATGCAAATTAATAGTACTGTTCTGTGTTTGGGGCTGGGAGGTAGCCTCATGAATATTAAAGGTATTATATAGTTAAGTGTATGTTATGTGATAAAATAATCAGAAAGACATTAGGAGCCTATATTTATGGCCACTCAAATTGTTTTAGGTGCATGTGATTTAGGCGCACGTGAAACAAGCAATTCCACTAAAGTAAGATATCAATACTGGCAGTCTGTCAAAGGGATTGTTAACAGCTCCCATTGGGTGACTTCTGCTTTGCTGTTTTTTACCAATAAGTTAAAATAAAACAAAAACCAATACTTATATGCCTTTAAAAAGCAGATAATTTTGTTTAATTCCTGCGAATTAAACAAAAAAGCCAGAGCAGGTCTAACACAACCATCGCTTTCAGACATGGAGACTAAAGCACAAAAATACACTCACTTGGCAAGTGATTTGAGCCCACGGCCTCTGAAGCTGAGCTCCTGTTCATTCCATACCACATGAGACACAGAAAGGACACCAAGGAATGGACTAGATGTAAAAGGAATTACGAACATCTCCTGGTGTTAAGTACACAGGAATTGCTCCCAAATATGGCATGATTTGCATTTGGCTACATGAAGGAATCTGCTCTACCACTGTAATGGTACATGCAGTAGATTAAACTCATTTTGCTGTTAGTTTCAAGATATAATTTGGAACATCTTTTTCTACGTTTATTTCCCAATTTCTTCATTTTGGTATATTTTATAGTTAAGAAAAATCTACCAGAAGGAGGAAAATAGCCAAGGATACTCCAATCTGTAAGTCATTTTTCTTGTGAAGTCTTAGAGAAAGTTTGATGGGAGTGAAAATGACAGACCATTCAGTCTTTAAAAAGGCATAAATATGCTTATTGAGCTGGGTATGTCACTTAAGGGTGGCTTAAGAGCTATCTAAATTAAAGGCTGGGGATGTGGCTCAGCAGTGGAGGGCTTGCATACTCTGCACAAAGCCCTGGACTGGTCACTAGCAGACCCTGCAAATCCCAACCAGCCAATTGAACCAATCTACCAACCAAACAAGCCTGGTCCCTAACAGAACCCACCACCAACAACCAAGCAGATGTAATTAAAGAAATAAATTAAATTAAGATGGCTTACCTTTTTTGTTATTTGTGTTTTGAGACAGTCTCAGTATATAGCCCTAGCTGTTCTGCACCTCACTGGGTAGACCAGGCTGGCCTTGAACTCAGAGATACACCTGCCTCTGCCTCCCAAATGCTGGGATTAAATAAAGGCATGCTATGCTGCACCATACCCAGCCCAAGATGGCTTAGCTTAAATCAAGTCCCAAACTAGCAAAGGGAACATATAGATTAATAGAACCTCCCAAGCCAAAGCTATTTAGATTAGTATCACACTTAATATCGGAGCAAAATGAAAAATTCAGTCATGTTAAAAATTCTAAATTCCTTAATTTAATCAAAGTATCAAGAAGTTATTTTTAAAATGTGGTCTGGATAAGGGACTGTCACACAGAGGAAAGAAACTCATTGTGAAAAATAAGAATCATAGAGAAAATTTTGCTATTAACAAAAAGATATCATGCTTAATACTGCTTCTGACTGAACAGAAACTGCAAAACTGAGAATTCTGGGATTTTTAAATAATCATGTAAAGTTTTGAAGTCTTACAGAAGCCCTGAGCACAGCTGGTTACCTGCAGGGAGTCTGAAAATGCATCCTCTTTGTTTTCAATGGGTCTGAACAGCCCCTTTTTCTTCTCCCGGTCCCTTATGTCTGGGCTGGCAGCACTAATGAGCATCTTCAGGTTGGCGGTGGGTGTCCATGGCTCTGCCTGCTGTCTATCCACCAGCTTTACTGGAGTAATGGGACTTCTTTCTGGAGTGAAGATTTTTTGCTTTGACAGATCAATTGGTTCATTTTTTATTGGAGTCTTCGGGGCCATCCTTGATCCAACAAATATATTTTCCTATATACAAAAAAAGAGGGAAGGATAAGAAAGGGTAGGTATCAATTAAGAGTAATTTGTTCCATTAAGACTTGTAAATATAAACAGGACCACCTGTTCTAAGCTGGAAAGTATCAGAACTGGATAAATGAAAATTAGAGTGCTCCACGGGAATGAAACAGTGGTTTCAATGAGAAACCCATTATAATCTGTTTATACATGTTTCATGGAATGTCTGTAGAGAAATCACCCACATATCTGTTGCCAACAGATGCTTGCAATAGCTGGAAATCATGGAGGCCTCTAGAGGCTGAGTCTCTATAGTTTCAAAAGGACCCCATTTCTTTAAACCCTATTTACAAGTTTGTACTTAACCAGTAAAGAGCAATTGTACCTTTGTAGTTCAATGTTCAAAAGCAACTAGTAACAGGACAAGTTAAAGGGAGAGCATCCAACAAAATACCAGTGTAAGCCGACCTAGGACTGCCCAAGATTTTCTGATTAGAAATTTCTCAAACCACCCACAGTGAAGGACCCATTATCTCAACATACTGATAAGTAAGTGGTCTTACCTCCTAGGACTAGTATACAATTGTCACCATGTGATTTACCATTTGAGTTTGTCACTCAAACCAACCTACAGTTTGTTCAAAAAATGACACCACTGATTGGTCACAAGCTTAGATGTCCCAAGCACATATCAAATTGTCATCAAGGTTTCTGAGTCCTTAATGATCAAGTTTTAGTTTTCAACTTTTATAGTCTCATAATAGATTGTGAACAACTATTGACCATACTTTCGATATACTGTTTCAGACAATTGTAAGCAAAGATTTAAAATGGATCCACTATAAAAAGGACCAAGAATAAGAAAACTTCATGTGGAGCCAAAAAGGAATTGAAACACATTTCTTTCTGTTAAAATATTTTTTCTACCATTGAAAACCAGAAAGACTACTTACTCTTCTTGTAGAATTCTCTTCTGTGAACAGTGGCTACTTAATGTGAAAGGAGGATGAGCTAAATATGTATTAACTACTGTATGCTTTGGATTTTGGTTTAAAAAGTCCTTTCTTATAAAGAGGTAAAAGAATGAAAAACTGGAGTGTGTGTTCATAGACCAACCGAATCTTGTTTGTTGGATCAGCAGAAGCTTCTGCTAGCCATGGTGACACATTCTGTTGTAGTCTAATAGGCTAATGGGTGGGGGAGATGAGGGCTTGCTTATAGCAGCAGAAAGCAAGCAGCAATCCTGCAGGGCTTCACAAGTCTTCTAACAAGTCCCTGCTAGTGAGCCGTGATGAGATCCACAAAGTAACTCTCAAAGGAAATGACTGAGTGTTTAATACATGCCACACTCTGTTTCCTATACTTGTAAGAAGCCGTAAACAAATTCTTTGGCCCAGGTACCATTGTTTATTCTAGTTTACAGATCAAGAAACTCAGGTACAGGGATCAAAGAACTTGCCTGGGATCACATATAGCTTCCTGAGAAAAAGGCAGAGCATGTTATAAAGCAGCTGACGGCAGTTTCTGAAGCTATGCATCTAGAACTGAGCTCATTCTGGGTACAAAGTAGAAGGAAGCTATTTTTCCCTCAGTTCCAGCAGTACTTGGAGAGACGGTATGGGGAAGTGATTTTATGTGCAGGATCTAAGGCCAGTGAGCAAGCCCCTCCTCCTCTACTTACCGTATTCCCATTCATTCAGCTGAAAAATGAAGTTCATAAAAATACAAACTTCACTTGGGAGGCAGGGGCAGGCGGATCTCTGTGAGTTCAAGGCCAGCCTGGTCTACATAGTGAGCTCCAGGACAGCTGGGGCTACAGGGAGACCCTGTCTCAAAAATGAGTTCTAGGCCATGTGGTTTATACAAGTTCCAGGACAGCCAGGAAAAAAAAAAAAAAAAAAAAAAAAAAAAACCAAACCAAACCAAACCAACCAAACTTCAAGGGTTGAGAACAGCTCCTGGTATATAGTGAACATTCAATAAAAGTCAGCTATTCTTTCTCCCTTTCCCATTATTCATTTATCCTGGCACTTAAGAGTGTCTACAACATTGCACTGTATTGCTCCTTAACGCCCTGTATAGCTGTCTTGTCTCATTTGAGACATGTGGGGAGGTTAGTTCCTCATGTCCTATTCCTCTGTTTTTGGCATAGTGCCTTGCCCATTACAGGTGCTGAATGAACACTGCTTTGCCAAAAGGTACCCTCAAAGTGTGTCCCAGGCTTGCTGAGTACACAGAGGTTTATTCTCCTTCCCTACGGCTCCCATGGTACATGTCTTAACAGGAATGAGTTCTTACTTTCTCCACAGCGAGGAAGCAATTTAGAATGGATTACTTCTTCATACACTTTGACACATTTTTTACTACAGTTTATGTGATAATTAAAGTGGGAGTGAAGTTAGGTCAAGTGGTTAGGTTCAGACTGTATTATGCCTCCATAAAACAATTTAGAAATGCCAAGCAAATTGTGTTCTGAGGTTCCAGATGAGCAAGAATCTGTGATCTATTCACTCACTGCTCCCCCTGTCCTGCCATCCCATCCTGACACTGTGCAGGGAGGAGTAAAAGAATGGGGATGTGCTGGAGAGCTTAGGTGTCAACTTGACACACCTGGGTTGAGAGAGCCTCCATTGGGGAATTGCCTCCATAGGACTGGCCTGTGGCCATGTATGTGGGGCATCTTTTTGATTGTTGAGTGATGTGGGAGGGCCCAGCCCACTGTGGGTGGTGCCACCCCTGGGCAGGTGGGCCTGTATTACATAAGAAAGCAGGCTGAGCAGGGGCCAAGGGAGCAAGCCTGTAAGCAGCATTCCTCCATGGCCTGTG